CCCGGGATCGAACCCGGGCCGCCGTGGTGGGAAGCCAGCGACTAACCGCCTGAGCTATGGTGCGGCTTTTTTCATAAGATTATTTGACTATGACGAAGCAGGTTATTTGACATTAAAAGTCACATGACATGATGATAATGAATGGTTTATTTAGAGGGGCAATGGCTGATTTAAACGTACAGCATCTGACTGTAGGAATTATGTTAAACCCTGAACTATTCTCAACACAGCCTACACTTGAACTTGTAACCTCTTGAAAGCAACAAAGTATGGTGCCCTAGTGGTCAGCCAAACACTACCAGCCAGTATAATATATTAGCACTCTTTACAACACAATACAACCCACTACAATGTCTAACAAGTAGACTGATCCTACCACAGTTGCTTAGAACATTGCTTCGAATGACAAACATCAAAGCTGGATTCTTGATCAGGGTGAACAGACGAACAAGGATGACATGATCAAGACATGAAACATACACGTAGAGATAAGAAACACATACAGAATTTCAGGTGAAAAACTCATAAAGGAAGAGACAACACAGAAAATCTAGACAAACCTGGAATGATAATGTTAATATTAATCTTAAAAAAAAAACAATAAGTTTTGAGGTTGTGCCCTGGGTTCACCTGGCTCAGAACAGGGTTCAATAATGGCCTCTCATAATCATGGTTATGAATCTTCCAGATCCATAAAAAGTGGCATATTTCTTTACCAAATGAGTACTACTAATTTTTTAAATGCTGCAAATTCTTAATTGATGAACTCTATAACAGATAAAATTAGAGTCTGAAATATGGATTATGTATGCTCTTACCTCACACTTCATAACTTGCTTTAACATCTCTCTAAATGTGGCCATCATATTCATAAATGGTTTACAGTCACGAGAATACAGCAAAAGGATTCGTGGCCTAAGGGGCAGAGCTCGTTTCATCACATGACGACTCTCATCTGTAACAAACGACAAAGTGTTTGAAACACAAGTGTTAAAATGACTCCATAGTCACACACTTTGTTGCAAGTAAATGGGATACAGTTCATTACCAAGTCATAAGGACAATAGTGGGCTGCGAGTCGAGCTTCATGGTTGTCCACAGTTGCTACAGAAAAATTTACATATCACATAGTAGAAACTATTTTGATTAATGGTACAAATGTTATGACGTGGGAACACACACAGTGAACATTCTTGTAAGCCCAGTTCCAAATTGGGAAATCTGGCAAATTCTAGACCTTTTCCATTCCAAGAGAAAGTACCAAGATTATGTACCCACAAATGACATTAGACAGTAGAGGGAAATGCATTGAGGATATATATGTATATATATACTTGGTGTGTGTATATATAAATAAGGAGCTACCACCACTTATGGAGCTCATTTCTGAAGACATTTTGAGTAAAAAGTGTCATATAAACCTGGGTCCTTTACTCAATATTTACAGAGTTACAATCGTAATTGGAAACGCACTATTGTGAACTGATCGCCAGACCTTTCCCCATTAGATTATTGCATTTGGGGATGGATGAAGGACATTGTTTACCAAAGGAAGGCACAAACATGTAACTACTTGCTTGCATCATGCACGCTGCTATGGAAATCAGAGATAACAGTGTGCACCTACGTAAAGCAACTTGCGGACGTGTATCGAAGCGGAGGGCAACATTTTTGAAAATGTGTTGTAATCTCTGTAAAACTTTGTAAAATTGAACTACAGAGAATCAAGTCCATAGAATTAATTTGTTTTTGTGACAATAAATGTATTAAAATGATGTAATTTTGTATTTAAAATTAAAATTCAGAAACCTTCAAATTACAAACGTAACTCTGTAAATATTGAGTATAGGACCCAGGTTTATACGACACTTTTTGCTCAAAATATCTTCAGAAATGAGCTCCATAAGTGGCGGTAACTCCTCATGAATACCCTGTATATATATATTGGGTTTTGTGCAGCTTTAATTTTTATTTAACTCTGAACTAATACAAACACAGAACCTTAATATGTATATTAATGGGTTAAATGATATATATTGGGTTTTGTGCAGCTTTAATTTTTATTTAACTCTGAACTAATACAAACACAGAACCTTAATATGTATATTAATGGGTTAAATGATCCCAAATGCAGCCACTGGAAACCAACCAACCAATATTTAACTTTTGCAGTTCAAAGAATTAAAATCCCAGTGAATTACACTATAAAAATCAATACTTTCCAGAATCATAAAATGATGAGTGGCCTGCAAAATACAACTCATAAGAATGTAAAAATAAAATAATGCATTCTAATAGCAGCAGAGGATGGCTTCAGAATATAATTTTATGCAAGCAACCCTCTTCTGATTTCACTTGCCCTTAATAATACAGCTTTGTTGATGGTGCCACATTAAGTGCACAAATTGTGGAGCATCAAATAAGAGTAGATGGAAAGATATAAAAGGAAGCAGTCAGGAATATTTTAAGGTATTTAATCACCTAAAGGGTAAAAATTTCTTGGAACAGCCAGTTACTCACATTTAAGGTTTGACCTGGGAATTTCCTGAAAACAAGCTGTATACATTACTGCATAGTTCACCTGATTAATTTCAATAGTATGTGTGTTCTCTATAGGGAGGGAATGCAAATTGAGAAAACATAAAATGCACTCATACCCAGTGGCAGAAAGCTAAAACTCAACTGCACACATTTCCTATTTTGCAATTAAGTCAACCTACTGACATGGTATTCCAGCATCAGTTCACAAAATCATTAACAATCAGTGACTTCAAACATTTATGCTAACATGTGAAAATACACAAAGGAATGGTACGTAGGGCGATTCTGACTTAGAACCTCTACTCAGCTGCTGTGATACAGATAGACAATGTTTACATGAGAGGAATGAATGTCATGTGTTATGGTAGAAGATAATGATAAGACTAAATGAAAAATTAAAATCCTATATGAACAATTCAATGTTTCTTGAATATGTATATAAAAAAGAATAACTTAAAATACAAAAGCTGTATTCTAGAAAAACTGAAAAATTATTTAGTTTTATCTTCTTCACTGAAATGTTCTAATAGGCCACATCTATGTAGGGGTAGTCATGAAATGAGTGGTTCAGACCTATTTCATTACATAATGTTGTGTTATGCCTTGTCATAGTCTTCATAAATCCAAATTGTTCCTCTTGATTTGACTATGTTCAAAGGACCCATAAGTAGAAAAGCTTTAACAGCTCTATATATTCTTAATTCGAGCTCTAGATGGAGGTGACTGGTTGGCTTCTACTCTTATTAGACTTCATCCCTGAAGACAGAGTCTCCGATCGGCAAAGAAAATGTCAATACACTTGCCAGTCAATTGTTGAACTACCATGAATCCTGTATTCAATTAATACACCAAACTCTAATTCACTATCACGTTTAATGAGGCCTAAATATTAAGGTTATGGTCTTCTTGAATGTGAAGCTGCGTAGTTTGGTCGATAGGTATAAACATTTGACAGGAACCTGCTACCTCTACCTTCAGAGTATTACTTCCCTGAAGATGGAGAAAACTGGTTTCTCCAAAACTACACAGTGTATTATCACATAAGACCATAACCTTAATATTCATTGCCACGAGAAACTCATAAAATCTCAACGCATAAACATCCATATGCCTTATGTGACAGGAAAGATACTATGCCATTTCTCTGGATACTCTGTATGTTGGTTTATTATCAACTTGCATCAATGTTAGGATACACTGACAAATCCCCGCTTTAGTAAACAGCCACATCCGGATTGTGAGATGTTCAATCACTAAATTACATACACTACTGGTAAATTGGATTAGAGTCAGAAACACACACACGCTGTTGCTATACTATGACAATATTTCCAGTAATACCCATCAGTCTCTTTTACCATACTAGTGAATCTAATATTAGCTATGTAAGCTAAAACAAATATGAACAAGAAACATTTGTTTGTACGGAGCACTTTCAGAAAGAAATATTAAAAGCTTAAATAAACAATTTGTGACAAACATAAGCAATATCAAAGGTTACTTGGGTTCTTGGTGCAACTTTATCACTCTTAATTCTGTACAGACTTTGTCAACACTTTGTGCACAAAGGTTAGCTGGTTGTTAACTGGAAGACTAGTGTGTCTGTCCCTGATAAAAATTTCTGCAAGGCTCTTTGAGGTGACAATGAATGAATGAATGTATAAGCGGTGGGCCTTCTTGGCCCTTGCACCGCAACCACAGTGATCTATTGTGCCTCCCCTTTTGATTATCCCCTCAGCAATCCTGCAGTTTGAATGAAGCGCAGGATCTTGTACGTGGGGACGTCAAAATAGTCACTTGGTTCCATAAGATACTGACCCAAGTGGCGCAATCTTAAACAAGCTAAGGCCTCACATCGCATAGGATATGTGTGGCTGTTTCATTTTCTTCTTGACACCTCTCACAAGTTGGACTGTTACTTAGTCCCAATTTGAAGAGGTGTCCTTTGAGGTGACAGTGTCCTGTAAGTAGTCCTACCACCCATCATAGCTAGTTTCTGTTTAACTTCAACAGTTCCTTGTTTAGTAGAGGGTCCTTGTATCAGTTCCTTTGCTTGCTTGGGTCTTGAGGTGACACTATGCTGATAATGAGAAGTGGAATATTTAAAGTCATATCTGGATAGAACTTGCCATGTGGAATAGAATGTATGCATTTTTCATCATCACTAATCATCCTAACCACTGGCACACAACCACTTTGGGAACTATGGAGCCAGCCTCCTAAATATAAAAAAGAAACATACTATTTGAAACCAGGAGTGAATACCACGACTCTTGTGACATCTTCCACTACATGGGAAAGGCAATTTCCTTTCAGCACTCCACAAACAATTTATAACAATAAAGCAACCAGCAACAGTCATTTATGCAAGAATACTCAACTAAGTCCTCCTTTCCTGATTTATGTGGAGTGTCCTGAAAAGTTTTATCAGGGAAGCCTAGATTTTATGTTTTCATATATGTTAAATTATAACACACAGATTTAAAGGTAAAGTTATTCCTGGGTTTAATTAAGCACCATGCCATGAAGACATATGAGGCAGTAGATGTACAGCTCCACCATTCTTAACCTTGGCACTAGATGGAGGTGAGTGGCCACCTTCATGAGCCTGTCAATTTACCCCCAAGGAAATAGACCCCAAAACTCATCCCATAGAAGGCTGGGTGGGTCCCAGAGCTGGTCTGGACACACACCTTCAACATAGTAAATTTTAAATTTAAGTCCAGTCTCTTATATATGTCCAATATCTTATTAACAATAAAAAGAGAAACATTCTGAACAATTTGGATTTTACAGTACAAAATTAGTATAACAGCCAAAACAGATAATGACCCTCATGTCTCCTTTACATGATTTTCCACCAGATGTTCTGCTGTTGTTTACCATTCCTGTTTCATATTAAACAACATTCTGTTCAAATTCTAACATGGTTGATTATCCTACCAAATGTCTACCATAGTTATAATATGAGAAAAAGAGATGAAAATAATCCAGAATGCTATGGAGATGGTAATGATGCAGAATTTTTGCAAATGTTGAGGAAAATTACAGATCTTAATAGATGAAAAGTGATTTTTAAATGGATTAAATTTTAATAACTTTCATTTTTATCATTATAGTATACTATCAAATTTATTAACCTATTTTATGCCATACATTTCAATCATCAGAATGGCACTATACCAACATGAACCACAAAAATTCATTAACACACTTCAAAAAAATTTTTTTTAATTGTGAAAATTACTGCAGCTAAACTCTAAACTAACAACACTGCATCTTCCTGGCTAGTTCTTATATCAGATAAGACAAAACATTTTAATATTGTTTTAAACACTGTCATTACAGTTTGCAATGGTTGTAATCAATGGGAAAAATATGTCAACCTAAAAGAGTGTACACGCGTGGGAACTG